ATTTTTGGAAAAACTACTTCTCCAGTGACTAAATCGGTGCCCCAATCTACTTGTCCCTCATGACAATCTACTTGTCCTGATAAAAAAAAAATAACCAAAACTATTTAAATCTGCGGAGCTGTTAATAATGTCTGGGGCTTTTAAAAACAAAAGGGGCTTTACGACAACTTAAATGTTTAATGTTTTTAACATTGCACTGTTTCTCTCCTAATCCCCTCGCTGCCTGTCTGCAGCCCCACACCCAGGGACTAGCAGGGAGGGGAGAAATCTTGCAGTGTAATGAGCACTAAATTGGCTGCTCATCAGGGAAGGGGAGTGTTCGGCTTATCCTTTATCCCTTTCGCTGCCAGAGCTGTTTTTTGCGATTTTTGCACACATTTAAAAAATAATTTAAGGCCTGAAGATTACACAAAACTCCAAAACATATATTTTCTGAAAGCAGACACCATAGAGAATAAAATGGCGGTTTGTTCCAATTTTTTATTTCATGCAATATTATCACAGAGGTGTAGGAAATGCAAAATTTCAGTAAAAAATACAGTTGTTAATTTTAGGGCACAAAAAGCAATAAATTATCCAATTTTTTTGTAAAATATAAAAGATGAGGTTGCATCGTGTAAATAGATATCCAACATGTGAAACCTTAAATTTGTGTGCGCTTGTGAAACGGCAACAAACTTTAGTACCCTATATTTCTTATAGGTGATGCTTTTAAAGCCCCTTATAGGTCATCAATTTTGCATTACGGTGGAAGTCTGGTGCTAGAATTATTGCTCTCATTCTGGTGTGCGGGTCGATATGTACAATCAAGGTTTTCATGTGTAGGCACCCCAGCACGTGCTTTTACATTTGTACCTGCGTATATGTGGGGGTGGGGGGTCTTTGAAAAATGTGGGGGAGTTATATGTTTGGGTGCAACTTTCATTTTTCAAAAATTTAAAAAAACACTTTTTTACTTAACTTTTTTTTTTTAATCACACGGGACAAAAAGTCCCCTATGTGATGATTTTTGGTGACAGGTTCTCTTTTTGGAGACATCCAGTGTCTAAAAGACCCTGCATGTCTCCCCTGAATGCACAGTGCACTTCACACCGCATTACATTTTTTCAGGGCCTCTGTGGCTGGGAATTTGTCAATGGGGACCTGGAAGTGATTCACATCATCTTCGGGTCAGGACAAGAAGGAGAGGGGAGCGGATGTGTCCGCTCTTCTAAATTCCCCTATACCGCCGACACCCACAGAACATAGATGGGCAAGTGGAGCGTGGGACATATAACGGGTGGGGGCTGGCGCTGTGGGCTTTGTGGAAGCAATGCTTCCACCTGACAGGTGTTTGCCCGCAGCAGGGCTAAACATAAATAAAAACTACCTGCTCGGGACCCAGAACTACATGTCCCGGTCGTCGAACGATATAAAATGAACATCCCTGGATACTGGTCCTGCTGATCCGTTAAGGACCTTCTACAGCCCTGTCCAGCTCTCCTAGATTTCCTCCTACCCCACCCCCTGCTAATTGCCGACCTCCTCCACTCTTCCTACCACTCCATCCCCCACAGCCATTTCCTCCTGTACCACTATACCCTCCCTCCTAGATTGTAAGCTCGAAAGAGCAGGGCCCTCAAACCCCTCCTGTATCACATTGTATTGTTATCGTACTGTCACATGTTCTGTCTCCCATTGTAATGTACAGCGCTGAGCGAACTATTGGCGCTTTATAAATACTGTATAATAATAATAATAGAGTAACTGTCAGGATCCGGGTATGACCAGAGGTGTGTGGACTGACACAGGGAAGTAACAGGCTTCAGGAATGATATAATAACAATATACTTATTATTAGCCACCCAAACATACAACGCACAGTAAACAAACCAACCTTCTACTAATCTTAGTATGTGCAGGAACACAGGCATAGTCAGGGCTGGAGAGGTGGAATGGTCAGGCTGGCCATATGGTTCTGTTAACGACCGTCTGATGGTACCTCTAGCAGTCCTTGGGACAGGATTCCCCAGGGAGTGGAGTCTAAGTCCCAGTCTGCTTATTCACCAGGGCCCCTGATGGTGGGGATGGACTTGGAGCAGACAGGAACCAGGTCGCGGCCCCTGAGTACACCTGCTCGTGGTAGAGGGATCTGCCAGAGGTATATGCAGGTAGGAAGCCTGATGTGAAGAGGCAGAAAGTGTGAGCAGGGATGACTGGATCCGTGCAGAATGGATGGATGGCCGAGTAGTTTTTGCGTGGTCAGACGGGCCGGGTCGGTAACAGCAGGTCAGCGTGGTACTAAGCAGCAGGCAGAAGAGTAGTCAGGTCACTCGCCGGGGTCGGTAACAGGAGTTCAGATCAGATTAGGGATGTCCAGGAGAGTAGTCAAACGAGCCAGGGATCAAGCAGGAGAAGTCAGCAGAGGTCAGGATCAGGCAGGGTGGGCAACAAATCAGATCAGCAGAGGAAAAGGACACAGGATACAAAGTACAGGGGCTCATGACTGCAGGTCTGGCCATTCCTTAAATACACTTCCTGCAATCAGCTTCAGGTGATGGCTGATTGCAGGAGTGAGCTTCTGGTTGCTGAGAGCACCCACTGGCCAGCTCTGGTACTGCAGCCCACAAGGCAGGTGAGTCCCACCACCATTGCTGAGTCCATTCCTGACAGTAACTGCCTGTCTCCTGGAATCTCCTCCATGCTCTTGAGACTGGACTGGGAGACACAGCAAACCTTCTGGCAATGGCACGTATTGATGTGCCATCCTGGAGGAGTTGGACTGTCTGTGCAACCTCTGTAGGGTCCAGGTATGGCCTCATGCTACCAGTAGTGACACTGACCCTAGCTAAATGCAAAACTAGTGAAAAACAGTCAGAAATGATGAGTAGGAAAAAAAAAGGTCAGTGGCCTCCACCTGTAAAACCATTCCTCTTTTGGGGATCATCACATCGTTGCCCATCTAGTGCACCTGTTGTTAATTTCCTTAACACCAAAGCTGAAACTGATTAACAACCCCCTCTGCTACTTAACTGCCCAGATCCCAGGAGTTTCATTGACTTGATGCTATACTCTGATTAAAAAGTGTTCCTTTAATTTTTTGAGCAGTATATATTTTTTATTATTTTTACATTTTAATTTTTTATTTTTTTTGGTGGAGAATGTAACAGAAGGAGTTGTAACACACAAAACACCCAGGTGGACATTCAGTTCAAATGAATGAAGGCATCATACCACAGCATTAACACCAACATGGACAAGGACTATCCATACATGGGTATAACATTTACTTTTTGGGTACCACAAAAAGCCCATTACCCTTCCACACATTAGTGTGTGTCCCAAAGGGAGCCATTTTGTATACAGTAGCACACCCCAAATTCTGCCCCATATGCTTCCCAGACATACAGGTACCGTTCCTAAGATAGGCTAAAAGTTATAATGGACGTACATCCAACATGCTTAGAAAAACGTTACTTTCCAGATGCGGTGGGACAGCCTCAGGGCCTACAGTTATAGCATAACGATTTCAGGGCATCTATTTCTAGAGTACGTGCAATTTATATATCGCTTCCAAGCAAAACATGTTCTGTACGTCACTTCTCACCCTATGGCTGACTGCTGTTGTCAATTTTCCAAGTTGGGCACATTGCTAGCAATTTCCCCAATTTCAGTCCTACTCAAGATATCAGGACCACACCAGGTATTCCCCAGCCAAAGAATACTAAACACTGGAGCCTCTACATCTTTGCAGGAAAGGCCTCATCAAGTCCCATGGGAGACAACTAAGGAGACAAGTCCCTATCTTATTGCACTCTCCACCTGAAGTCCTCCCACGCTGTAACCTACTAAATTTATATATATTCTAAGGGAGGGCCACCTAGTGGCCAAAATAGGAAGTACCCTAACACGCCATTACAAGCATGGTCTTAAATTAAGAAGACAGGGTTGTCCATGGGGTTGTGAATGCTGGATTAGGTTTCTGGCACTCAGGTGAACTAAGGAAACAGTTTGGATGAGTGAGAGACTGCAAAATACTAAAAGTATCATTTCAGCTTAAGCACAGTCACTTGATTGAAGAGATTTGTATTTAACCACTTGTCATCCTGAGGATTTACCCCCCTGAATGACCAGGCCTTTTTTTGCTACTCAGTGCTGCATTAATTCAACTGATAACTGTGCGGTCATGCAATGCTGCACCCAAACAAAATTTACGTCCCTTTTTTCACACAAACAGAGCTTTCTTTTGATGGTATTCAATCACCTGTGCGCTTTTTATTTTTCATGCTATAAACAAAAAAAGACTGAAAATTTTGAAGAAAAATTATATTTTTTATTTTCGGCTATAAAAAAAATATAATAAACTCAAAGTTAGTCATAAATTTAGGCCACAATATATTCTGCTACATGTTTTTGGTAAAAAATCCCAATAAGTGTATATTGATTGCTTTGTGTGAAAGTCATAGCGTTTACAAACTGATATAGATCAGGGGTCCTCAAACTATGGCCCGTGGGCCACATGCGGCCCGCCGAGGGCATTTATCCGGCCCGCCGGTAGGGGTGTATTTTCCGCGAGGAAGGGACACTAAGTACAGGGGCGGGCAGGGGGCTGCTGTACCTTACCTGGCTCCGGTCCCAGTCCCACAACGATCCAGTCCAAGAAGCGCTGCTCCTTCATTCACTCCGGCCACTCCCTCACTCCTGCCGCTCGGCTCCGCCTTCTCACCGGTGGTTGGGCGCCAGAACTGTAGCTCAGGAAAGGCACACAGGCAGCCAATCACCTGGTGGGGGTGGAGCCGAGCGGCCCCGCAAACATCGAGTGAGGGAGAGGCCGGAGTGAAGAAGGACAGCTGACAGGTAAGTGTGCCGTGCTGATGGTGCTGCTGCAACCAGGTATGTTGGCTGCAGCAGCACCATGCTGGAGCAGGGGTCAGCAAGTTAAGTGTCATTGGTGTCAGTGGGAGGAATAGTGCCCCATCATTGGTGTAATTGATACTAATGATGGGCATTATTCCTCCCACTGACACCAACGATGGGACCCTATTCCTTTCCCCCACTGACACCAACGATTGGGCACTATTCCTCCCCCCACTGACACCAACAATGGGGCACTATTCCTCCCCCCCACTGACACCAACGATGGGGCACTATTCCACCCCCCCACTGACACCAACGATGGGGCACTATTCCTCCCCCCCACTGACACTGCGATGGGGCACTATTCCTCCCCTCCACTGACACCAACCAGGGAGCACTATTCCACCCCCCACTGACACCAATGATGGAGCACTATTCCTCCCCCCCACTGACACCAACGATGGGGCACTATTCCACCCCCCACTGACACCAACGATGGAACACTATTCCTTCCCTCACTGACACCAATGATGGGGTACTATTCCTCCCACTGACACCAATGTTGGAACACTATCCCCCCCCCACTGACACCAATGACTGGGCACTATTCCCCCCCACTGACAGCAATGACGTACTATTCTTCCCACTGACACCAAAGATGGGGCACTATTCTTCCTACTGACACCAATGATGGGACACTATTCCTCCTACTGACACCAATGATGGGACACTATTCCTCCCACTGACACCAATGATGGGGCACCATTCCTCCTACTGATACCAATGATGGGGCACTATTCCTCCCACTGACAACAATGATGGGGCACGTTTCCTCCCACTGACACCAATGATGGGGCACGTTTCTTCCCACTGACACCAATGATGGGGCACTATTCCTCCCACTGACACTAATGATGGGGCACGATTCTTCCCACTGACACCAATGATGGGGCACTATTCCTCCCACTGACACTAATGATGGGGCACGATTCTTCCCACTGACACCAATGATGGGGCACTATTCCTCCCACTGACACCAATGATGGAGCACTATTTCGCTCCATAAGACACACTTGGGGGGAAATGTCTGTGCGTCTTATGGAACGGCCGGCCCAGTATTCCCGCCGCCGTTGTATGTCCGCAGTCTCTAGTCATCTCCTGTACTGTGTCCGCATTTGTTCATAGTTTTTTTTTAAAACTATAGTCCGGCCCTCCAACAGTCTGAGGGACAGTGAACTGGCCCCATGTTTAAAAAGTTTGAGGACCCCTGGTATAGATACTGCAATTTACGCCTTTTTTTGCTATACAGCACTGCGCTAGTTTAACTGACAATCGAGAGGTCATGCAATATGGTACATAAATGAAATTTACGTCCTTCTTTTCACACAAATAGAGCTTTCTTTTGGTGGTATTTGATCACCTGTGCACTTTTTAATTTTTGGCACTATAAACAAAAAAAAATAATTAATTTTTTTTTTAATGATATTTTCTAATTTTTGTCATAAAAAATATCCCAAAAACTCAAAATTTGTCATAAATTTAGGCCAAAATGTATTCTGCTATATGTTTTTGGTTAAAAAAAAATCCCAATAAGTGTATATTGATTGCTTTGTGTGAAAGTTATAGCGTCTACAAACTATGGTATAGATAATGAACTTTACACAGTTTTTACTTTTTGATTGACCATCACATTTCTTAAGGTGCTAAAATACCAGGACAGTACAAACATCCCCAAATGACCCCTTTTCGGAAAGTAGACACCCTAAGCTATCTGCTGAGAGGCATATTGAGTCCATGGAAGATTTATTTTTTTTCCACAAGTTTTTGAAACATTAGAAAAACTTTTTTTTTGTTGTTACTCAAAGTTGTCATTTAAATATATATTTCTTACACAAGCCATGGGTATGGGGATACCACATAAGTGAGACTTTTTGGGAGCCTAGCCACATACAGGAGCCTGAAATCCAATGACCACTTTGAAAGCCTGAAGGTGCGTAACTTCCTTATTTCACTTCCTTACTATCTCATTTTCGAAGACCCTGAAATGACAGGATAGCACCAAACCCCCCAAAATGACCCCCTTTTTGGAAAGTAAACACCCCTTCTCTGTACTTTCTCCAGTTCCCCAATGTTCTTTTTGTGAATTGGTGCCCAAAACTGAACTGCATATTCCAGATGAGGTATTACTAATGATTTGTAGGGGTTAATATGATATCTCTCTCTGGTCTATAAAGCATTTGACAGTTAACAGAGGGTGGCAGGAAGTATTAATATATGAAGACCACAAGCTAAACATGAAGCAAAATGTATGAATCTGTTTGCAACCACAACAGTGCGCCCCCCTACCCTGAAATGGAAAATCATGCCTATTTACGTGATTTTGCACAGCGCGGTCTCCCTGTTGCGGTACATCTGCTATGGGGCAGTCAAGTGGTTATGGCTTAGTTAAACAAGCTGAAGTTAGAAGCTAATTGGTTTCTGTACAGTGCTGCACCAGATTGGACACTCTCCAGTTTTAGTAAATCAAGCCCATAGTGTCCCGGTGCACAGATTCTGCTGTAGTCACCAATGTAATGTTCAGCTGCTGCTGGGAAGTGCATACATCTAACAAGTATTCATGCAAAAAGGTTATCGGATTTGCACAGTGAAGATAGAAGAAATGGACATAAACTGAAGAGGAAAACTGTAATATATTTTTTTTAACAAAAATAATGCAATCTTTTTTTGTGTTTGGTTTAGGTTTTGTTCTCCCTATTTATACATGAACATGTCTACCCCCTACACCCTTCCTAGCCCCCGGGTCCTGGGGTTCAGGCACCCTGTGTTGCCCCCCAGAGCTAGGGCAGAGGGCTATTGACTTTTTGTAGTTCACAGTCTTTGGAACAACCTTTTTGTGTTTCTACAATGTGTCTATTGCTCATAATTTTTGTATTTCAATGTTTTTATTAATTTTTAAACAGTTTTTATTTTTTTTGATAGAGTAGGGGAGATTTTGTTCCTGTGGCCTCAACAGGAAGTGAAAGGATATCATTACAATGTAAGGCAAATCCCCTCTTCAACATTTAACTCAGTAACATGTGTCCCAATTGGAACATTTCCCCTGTGCTATGACTAGGGCTTTCTAGACGAAACGCGTTAGCCTTCTTGTGCTGTGCTTACAATGTTGCCAATAAAGATTTTCTTTCACGGATGATACCGGGTTTCTAGCTTTATTGTATTCCATTTTCCCTGCATTTCTGTTCTGATTGAAAGTAGAAATTTTGGATTTATCCTAATTTTCATTTCACGTGACAATGATGACCAAGGACAATTAGAGAGAGTGAATTCCCAGGACAAAGCAATAAAAATCTGACACTGGTTTTATTCCATCACCACTCTACCCAAATTTAAGAAAAACGTTTTGCTTTAGTTATACTTTAAGAAGATGGCTCATTGTTTTAAAAGGCCAAAAAGCAGCACTAAAAGCACTTTTTTTTGGAACAGTAAAAATAGCCCCCTAAGTTGCACTTATTAAAGTGAATCAAACTTCTGCGCCTAATAAGTGCTAAATTGAAAATAATTATTGGTGACTGCTACTATGAGTGCTGCTGCTAACAACAATTGTGTTCCCTCAATCTGGTATGAATATAGATGTTTTTTGATGTAGAAAAAATTTGGTGTGATTAATAAATAAACATCAATCCCTCAATTGCTGAACAATCACAGGGAGTGAACTCATGACAAAGTGCTCAAAATGACTAAATATAAATATATAATAAATAAATAAAATGTGTAAAGTTCATTTAATTATATATATATATATTCCAGGTTACTCTATATCTAAAATTAAATTAACTTTACACATTTCATTTATTTATTATCACCTTCCCGCCCGGCCTATTGCAGATTGACGGCCGGGCAGGACATTCGCCATTGTGACTGAGCGTCATATGACGTCTTGTCAAAATGAGCCGCTCACATGACCGTGGGGCCACGTAGTGGCGCGATCTGTCACCGGCTGTGTCCCGTGGATGACATATCACTACACCGGCCTATTGCCAGTGTCATGTGACCACTGTGACCAACCACAGCAGATCACATGTCAATTGTATACAATGGATGGCTTCCTTTCATGCTATCTATTGTATAAAATTATGTTGCTAGCTGTGACTGGTCAAGGCAGTCACATGATACAGACAAGGCCAATCACAGCCCATCTGTATCAAGTGATCAGCTTTGCCCAATCACAGCTAATCACAACAAAAGACTGAATGAATCAGTTTCATTCAGTAACAATGATTACAAACAGCAGTGAAATACATTGGTATTACCAATCATAATGTGTTAAAAAAAAAAATTCTGATCACTTGCCCAGAGTAGTTCAATGTTACTATGGTAACATTGTATTGCTCTGGTCGCAGTGTGCTGAAAAATAAAATAGTAACAAAAAAGAGAAAATGTAATAAATAATAATAGAAACATTTGAAAAAAAATACAAATTAAATTATTATTTTCACCAAAGAAATATATCAGAATACATTTTGACCTAAATATATGAAGAAATGTTATTTATTTGCAAAATTTTATAACAGAAACGAAGAAAAGTGGTTTTTTTTTTTCAAAAGTTTCATGTGTTTTTTGTTTTATTTAGCAAAACAAAAAAAACTCAGTTGTGATTAAATATAATCAAAAGAAAGCTCTATTTGTGTTAAAAAAAATGCTGAAAATTTCATATGGGTACAGTGTTGCATGACCGCGCAATTGTCATTCAAAGTGCGACAGAGCTGAAAGCTGAAAATTGGCCCGGGTAGGAAGGGGGTATAAGTGCCCGATATTGAAGTGGTTAAATGTTTATATTTAGTAATTTTGAGCACTTTGTCATGAGTTCACTCACTGTGATGTTCACTAATTAAGGGATTGATGTTTATTTGTTATTCACAATTTTCTGCTTGCAGACCTACGTCACACAACATCTATATTCAAGTTCCAATTATTGTTATGCTGTTCATGGGACTTGCTGTATACCGAATAACATTGCATTTCAAGCCTTTATCATAATAACAATTATAATTACTGTATAACAAATATTATGTAAGATCTTTTTAAAATCCCTTGTTGCAATGATACTATGTTATTGTTTATACAAGGATAATTAATCTCTAGAGCTGGTTGATAATAATGTATCCTTACCAGATATTTTATAAAATGCCATGCATAGTGTACCAGCAATGAACTGGGCTCTATTCATGTAGTTTTATTTTACTTTTAAAATTTTCCTTTTATAAACCTAAAAAAGGTTACTTTAGGTGAAAAAAGGTAGTTAAGGTTCATTTGTATACAGGCAGCACATAATATATTTTCTGCATATTAATATCCTTATTTTTAGCCTTTTATATTAGTAACTACAGTATATACTTTGCTCCATATAGTTGAGTTTATCCCAATTACATTTAAAACTTTGCTTTA